GCCTGTTGACTTTTGCCGTTTATCTAAGGTGATTTTGGAAGTTTTTTTAAACATTTGTTTCTTATTTAATTGGTTCCACATTGTTTGCTGATTTTTACTTTATTTAAACTTTGTGTCATTTATTTATTTTATTTGACATCAAGGTGTATGCCGTGGCTCCAAGCTTTCTTACTCGTTTTGCTAATAAACTTTCTACGTTTCTTATTTATTTGGTTATATATATATTATACATGTTTACTTAGCCTATTTCCAGTTTTGTATACCTATTTAAACTTTATGTAAGTTATTTGTTATTTTATATTAGGCATAGCCTGCCCTTTAGCATGGTGTATTTTTATTTGTTTTGTTAATAAAAGTTCTATGTTTTATATATACGCTAAAGTGAGTTTGACGTTGTATTTTGTTGTTGCATTCAAGCAATTGACGTCGAACTGCCGCTAATTCGAAAGTGAAAGTAAAATGCGCACGGCGCTTTTAAGCTATTTAAAAGCGAAGGAAAGCGAATTAAAATTAAAAAGAACAATTGCTTTACGCCGAATTGGCACTATTTTAAAGTGAAAGTAAATTGCGCACACTGCTTTTACAAGCTATTTAAAAGCGAAGGAGAGCGAGAAAAAAAGGGGATGCCCCCGCCCCCACGGTGATACCGGTGTTGTCACACGTCGATTAACCGATGGGAAAATTTCCTCACTGTCACAACCCGAATATATATATATATAATTTATTTATTTTTAGCATTTAAAGAACTTGTGTCTTCTATTTGGCTATGCTTTTAGTATTTAATTTTATTTCTGTATTTATTTATTTGTGGTATGAAAGTATTTAAAATTAATAGAAATATAACATAATTGTTTATACATTTTGACAGGCATATCTGGCTGGTACAGTCTCTCTCTACCTCAGAGCACAACATCATCTCACAGTCTGACCTCAACAGGAGGGCTTGAAGTCTCCATTAGTTTTTCTCATCATGCAGATAGAGAGCGAGTTATCAGTTCAGCCCATGGACTGGGATGGGATGTAGGGCAAAACAGTGAAGATGAGGCAGATATAGTGGATTAAGATACTTTGGAAGCAAGCGCAAAGTCTCTGGCATTATCACTTTCCATGCCTAGAGCATGGCTGCCTATCCATTGCCTGCTGCTGCCAGGACATGAAGACTTGCAGCATTCCACCTACTGCTACCACAGATACAAACTGTACAACCAGCAGACCGTCTGCTCTGAACTTCGACAACCCGTTCCAGACGAGTGTGAGGGAGGAGAAGGTTTAGCCACGGTGGCATTTCAGGGGAGTAGAAGCGTGGTGCTGAGGAGGACTCAACCCCTGCTCTGGTACCTGAGGGAGGAGAAGCTGGAGGTGCAGGTGTGGGTGGCCTTTGGGAAGGAGAAGAGAGTCCGGCCTCATAACGCTGACCGTCTGGTGGGCTCTGCATTTGTGGATCTCTCTGCTCTTGCTGGGACTTTGAAGCACCATCAAACAATCAGTGGTAGATATTTGTTTTGTTTTTTCTTATTTATCTGTGAAGAGGCTATTTGTGTACTTTAGTAACTTTTTATTTTTATGTAATATTATGCTGGCATATTATATAATCGTTATAAAAATCATTATGCAAAAACACTGTTACCACATGATGATTTCTCCCTTATTAAACGGAACACTGCAAGACAAGTAAACATATACTCTAGCGTTCAAAAGTCTGGGTTTGGTAAGATTTTTTTATTTTATGTTTTTGAAAAAAGTTTTTTATTCTCACCAAGACTGCATTTATTTTATTTTATCCAAAGTACAGTAAAAAATAGTAATATTATGAACTATTATTACAGTTCAAAACCGCCGTTTTCTAAGTAATTCTGTGATGACAAAGCTGAATTTTTTGCATCATTACTCCAGTCTTCAGTGTCACATGATCCTTCAAAAATCATTCCAATATGCTGATTTACTGAAGGATTCTTTGAAAAATAGAAAGTTGAAAATAACAGCATTTATTTGAAATATAAATCTTCTATAATATTACAAATGTTTTTGTCTTTTTTGACAAACATTGAAGTTGAGCGCCTTTTACCAATGTTACTATAAAAAAAACGCAAATATTTTCCTTTACTTTATACAAAATTTAAGTTTATATAATTACTAACCAATATTTGGAGCAAAACTAGCCTTTTAAAGGCCCATCCTTATTTTTCTTTTTTTTTTTAACTATTAAATCTATTAATCTATTATTAAGATTTTATTTATAGAAAAATATTTGGTAATATGGTTGAACAAGCTGCTAACTGTATATCAAATAAATGTAAAATAAAACATCAAATGCATGTGTAGTTTAGTTTGAGATCTTTTTTTTCTGAATGTTAAGCACTTCCCTTCCCAGAAATTGTATTTAATTTAAAACGTTTCAGTTTTTTATTTTTTATTTTCATTTTTATTTTGAAGCCCATTTTTAGTAGATCTCAGAAGTGCTAGGAAAATCCTACCTTCCAATGATATGTCCTCTGCTCATATCTAATATAATATTTTGGTAATGTGAAATCTGTATTCTCTCCTGACGAACATGTTTCTCTCTCTCATGGTAGGCGTGTATCCTCTGTTCAAGCGCTCTGCTGTAAACCTGAGTGCTGCTGCTCTCAGAGTCCATATCACTGTCACAACAGACTCTGTGCCACATGAGCCTCAATCCACTGAGGAGCTCAACGACTCAGTAGAAGATGAGAAGGATGGAGGCCTCCCCACCACAGCACTGTCTAGACCATCTCAATCCCCCAGCAGACAGCTGATCAAATCAGCCGTGAGCACTGATGCTCCACCATCCAAAGAAATCAGCAACGATGACACCTTCATAGCCAACATTACTGTGGACAGAGCCATGCATCTGAGCCTGAAGGGTAAAATAACCACAGTTATTACTGATTTTACTTCATTCTCATTTGCAAGTTCCTTGCATTTATGATGTTTAACGCTGGTGTCATCCTCAGGTTGTCCTCTCGCTGAGCGCGGTGGTGGATTGCCTAGTTGCTGTGTTTCTTATGCCACCGCCGATGCCCCGGGCACAGTGACCACAGCACTGATCAAAGACAGTGACTGCCCTGTGTGGGACCACCAGCAAGAATGCAGGTAAACCCATTTAAACCCATTTGACATTTCTCATACTTTCCCATGTGCCCTTTTCACAGACAGTGATGACTTGTTTCCATTCATTCGTTGTAAAATTGTATAAATGTTTTTTAGATTTTCAATTTTAAAAAGATGAATGTACATGTTTTGCACATATTTTTTCTCTTTTGTAAAGTCATAGAAACGCTATTGAGGATACTTTCCTTGTTATTGGGGCAAATAGGAACACAAAAATTATATTTGTAGATTCAGTTCAAAACTATAAAGTTTACCCAACTATGATAACTAGGGATGTTCATTTTAACCGGTTAACCGAGGGTAAGAATTTTGACCGATTAATACAATCAGTTAAATGGTTTAAAAAGTCATTTAATTATTTATTTTTTCAGTAATTTGTCAAATTATTTAAAATGGTTTGCTGCATGGTTAAAATACGCTACGCGTATAAAAAAGGTGTTTTTTAGGGGGGGAAAAAACAAGTCGCGTATAAGTCGCATTTTATTTCATTCAGAAATAGACCTAATGGCGACGCGAAATGTTTACAAACATTATAATAAACACTGTAAACATAGCTAGTGTTAGTTCCCCTCACTCCACAACAAAT